AAGGATATAAAGAGCTGACTTTAAAAAAACAAAACAGAAGAAACTAGCACATAAAAGAGACAAGAAAAGATCTCCAACATTACCTTTTATCGGGGAAAAATAGAAGTTAATATCACAGTGTGATTCCATTTACGCTCATAGGATCAGAGAAAACTTAAGAAGTTTTATATTACCCAATCTTGGTGAGATTTAAGGGAAATGGGAATCATTATTGCAGGTGAAAACCTGAATTTATAGAACTGCTTTAAAGAGTACTTTGAAGCCTGATAAGGCCTGGCTTTATCAGTATCTCTGATTTCCTCCCTTCCATCCTCCCGTCCTCCCACTCTCTCCATCCATCCTACCCACCCTCCTTATTTTCCTGCTTCCTTTCCCAACAGAGATTTTATGTGTTTATCCCAAGGAGAAATAATTGCCTAGACTGTAACAAACTTATGCAGGTGGTTTTCTAAATTTATAAAATTATGAATGATTATAAAGAAAAACGTTTGCAAATTAAAATTTTTTTTTCTGTTTTTTAAGTTTTCAGTTTCGCCAAAGGGAGTATATTTAACCCATTATGTATTTGGCAGATGCGATACATTATAACCTCTATAAGTTAACCACATGGGACTGTGTTGAACTGTTCAACATACTGAGGTGGTCAACATAAGGAACTAGGCGCATACTACTGACACATACCTGTGGAGGTGCATGTTTTGTCTATGAAAATTAGGTCAACTTGAAAAGGTGGTGAGCGTAGGGAACTTGTCAACTATGGAAGTAGTTATAATCCTACCATTTAAAATTATATTTAAATTATGTTTATAAAATTCATGTGTGATAAACTATGTAATGAATTTCATCTTTGGGGTATAAAACTACATCTATCCCCCTCTCTTCCAAACTAAAAGTGAGGAGTAGAGAAGATACAATACCTATTACTAGTACTAATGATATAATAATTCTATCTCTAAAGTAGATAATTTTCTAGCCAGCTACTTTATTTCTAACCAGGAAGCAGAGGGGTGATAGCAAAATAATGTTATGATAACAAGATGGGTTTGTAAAATGAATCATTTACACATTCACATCTGTTTATTAAATAATAATTGTATTAGTTTTCCCAGGCTGCCATAACAGAAATATACAGACTAGGTGGAATGGATTAAGCAATGGAAATTTGTTTTTTCATAGTTCTGGAAGACGGCAGCCCAAAGTCAAGGTGCTGGTAGGTTTGCTTTCTAGTGAGGTCCCTTCCCCTGCCTTGAAGATGGCCGTCTTCTGTCTGTGTGCCCATCCCTGGTGTTTTCTTCCTCCTATGAGGACACCAGTCCCTCTGCTTGTGACCTCACTTAATCTTAACTACCTCCCTAAATGGCACCTCCAGATACAGTCACATCGGGGGTCAGGGCTTTAACATATAAGTTTTAGGGGAACACAATTCAGTCCATATCACCAACTATGTGTGCCTGCTACTGGTGGAGGTGCTGGGACACATTAGAGAAAAAAACAGAGGTTCTTCTCATTGTAGAGCTTGTGTTCTAGAGGGAGATGACAAGAAACAAATAACAATTTTAATGGGCAAATAATTTATGTGATGAGTTAGAAGGTCATAAGTGTCATGGGCCAACAAGAGCAGGCAAGGGGACTCTGGAGCACTCTCCTCAGCCTCAGGGAAGGTGATGATTTAGCATAGATTGGGCATGGTTGACATTTGAGCAAAACTTTGCTGGACACCAGGGAATCAGCAGTATTGACTTCTGCCTTATTAAATCTGGCATCTATTTAGTTCAAAGGATTACTGAGAAGCTATGTAAGAGACAGTTTTGAGTCAGGTAATCTTGGTTCAAGTTTGACGTTGGGCAGGTCAACCTCAGCACTGAGTTGCATAACTTCTGTGTATTAAATGCACAACAGAAACCAGCATATTTCAGAACTGGTCATTCCTGCTTTAAATGTAAGATGAGAAAACTGCTTTCCTGCCGAATGTGCACTCCTTCAGGAATCACTGTCTCAGTGTCCCCTGAACATTCACAAAGGCATTCCGCCATCCCCATTCACAAAGGCATTCCGCCATCCCCATTCACAAAGGCATTCCGCCATCCCCATTCACAAAGGCATTCCGCCATCCCCTGGGTTTACTGCACTTGACTTCAGTAGACCTGCTTTGGGATGTATGATATTGATAAATGTGCCAATCAGTGGCATTCCAAGTGGCTGTTCAGCGGAGTCCAGTGATTCATTTCTGCCATGGGGAAGGCAGAGTTGATGAAACACAGCAGCTTTGCCCCATGTGAAATGTCCAGGAAGTATGCATGGAGCAGGTTTAGGATTATGCTTTACTGAGCCGCTCAGAAAATAATTCTGTCAACTCTTAATTATTCATGTTCAGAAAAAGTGAAACTGTCAATTATTAACACAGAAGATAACATATACATTCTCACTGCAGACAAGAGAAAGTGCAAGAGCTATATGTCAGCCAAATGGAAGAAGCAATTCTGAAAAGAGTGATAGCGGATGTCAAGAGGGCCTGGCCAGAGCCAAGCAATGAGCCTGGTAATAGCCAGAGCAAGGAACGTGTGGAAAGGGTCATCTGGGCAAGTGTGAGCTCATTTTAACTATAGCATGGCTAACAGGAGAACATGTCCTTTTTTTCTTTTATTCTTTAATGGAATAAGTAATAAATAAGTAGAATATAATCCCTTAGATTCACTTATTCTATAAACAAATTGCCTTTTCTATGTGAGACCCTGAGCGTGGAGGGACTGAAGCCAAGAACCCAGTCCCTGCTATTCCAGGAGATGACAGCATCATAGGCAGGACATAAAGTGAACTGACACGCGCTCATATGGCAAGTGCTGCAGTGGAATTATGCACAATGATCTCTAAACCAAGTGAGCACTTAACCCTGAGGGGAGGCCGGGGAGGTGTTTGGAAGCAGGCAAACCTGGCTGCACCCTGTTGGAGGACCCCCAGTCAGCTGTGCCTTCACAAGGTCAGTCAGCAAACACTAGCTAAGCAACCTCGGTGCGTTGGACACACATTTGTGCTAAGCCTGCGGATGAACAAGAAATGAGCTTTCAAGGTTTTAGGCTCTGGAAATGTGAAACAAATATAGACAAGCTCAGAGAACTGTCATCAGGTACACAGGAAAGTTAGGGAAATGATGCTTTAGACACGTGAGTCTGTTGCACTTGATTTGGGAGTGGCAGTGGGAAAATGACAGGTGGACAGCACGTGGGATTGAGAATCAAGCCACTGAAGGCAGATGAAGCCTGGATCAGAGGAGGGTAAGGAGCAGGAGGGGTTCCTAGAGAGAACTACAGTTCAGTAGTTCCACTGGGCTACTGGCCAGTGAGGAGGGCAGAGGGAAACAGACGGAGCAGAAAATGGGCAGGCCAGGCTTTGTATGCCTGTGAAGGCTTTGGGTTTATTGCCCAGACATATGGAAGGAGGAAAGGGATAAACATTCAAGGATGAAAGTGGCAAGTGGTGTGAAGATTTAGATGTCGAGTGACTCTGGCTTGAGCTTGGGGATGAACTGCAGGAGAAAGGGGCTGAGGGTGTCAGGGAGCAGTGAGGGGGTTAGCATTATCTCGGCACAAAATTGGTGAAGACTCAAATCAAGAGTTTGTGAAGGAAGAGAAAGAATGAGGTGAGAGGAGGAGTGATGTACTGGACTTGATAACTGGTGGTATGACTAGGGCATTGACGAGAACAGGGGCTGACAGGAACACCTGACTTCCAGAGTATCTCAGCTGAGCTTTTCCAGGGTTCCTGGTGTGGATTCCTCAGCAGAAGTAAGCATTTAACAGACTTTGAGACCTTATCTGTATGGGGAAAGGTGCTTTACTAGAATATAAATTCTTTAATAGATTTTAACTTCCTTGAGTGTTCCTCTTCATTGCTTTAATGTGCTTTAATGCAATTTTGTAGAACTTGACAATATTTTAGCCTAAACATAACCTGATATATAAAAAGCACCACTGTATGAGATATGTAAACCTCTGAGTGAAAAAAGTACTTGAAAAATGAAATGATATCCCTTATAGCACTATCCATATTAAAACAGTATTAGATTGCCAACGATATTATTTTTATATATTTTTTATGTTCTCTTCCAAATGAAAACAAGCACAAGTGTCATAGGAACATAAGTTAAGGTAACAGTTGTATCTGTGAAAAAATGTATAGCTGGTCTTTTGTGGCTTAATTCAATTAATAGCACTACTAGTAGTGGCATTTGTATTATTAATTCTTTCTAAAACTGACAGCTATCTTTTATTTCATGTATTATAGTTGTTCAAAGACTAGGGTTAATAGATAGAGTCAATTTGTAAGGACTAACTCTGTAGAGAAAGTTTTACTACAGTGTTTTATCAATAATGTTCAGTTGACTAAGTCATTGCTATTTCAGGCCCTTTTGCCCTGAAGAGTTTTTGTTCTGAATCTGTGATTTAAATGCATAACAAAAGCAAAGAATCTTTAATGGTACTTGGTTTGAAATTAGAATGTGATTACTTTAAAACACTATGGATAGCTTTGTTGCCTTAAAGTATTTTTAAACTGCCATCCTTTCTTAATGGTCTCTGTAACGGCATGCTGGAGAGAAGAATAGCTACTACAGGATTCTCTTTGGCTGAGAGTTAGGTGAAGACCTGCAGGGAACTGCAGGAAAATATGTTATTTTTTAACCTGGTGATCAGTAGGTGTTTTCTGTGCCTCCCCTATAGCTCCATACAGGAGCATGCCAAGCGCAGCACTTTCAGCTTAATTGGACCAACTGGCAGTGTAAGGTCATCACTTTTCATTTGGCGATGGGACTGGTGAGTATGAACATTCCTCCCACACACATGCATTTCATGCTGTATATCTTACTCCTTGAAACATGTTAGAAGAATATGAACTGTTTCTTTCAGATGACAAAATCTGAAAATCTTTGTGAAAAAATAATATCTGTTTTCTGAGAGTGTGGTTGGCGATTTCCCTAGAAACAGGTCACAATAAAGAGGCCTGACCTGGCCATACATTCCCTGGTACGCCTCTGCAATCAGCAGCCTTTGGGCATTGCAGCGCTGGGTTAGAATGCCGATCAGCACGTCTTTGTCACAGTCTGGAAAAGAATAATATTGGAAGATTAGTAAAGTTGCTACTTTTCAGCCATTGTCTAAGGATCAATGTCCAAGCATTATCCCTGATGGTACTTTCAAGCAGAGAGCTATTTGAAACCAATACCGGAAATCACATTGAGAGAGGATACCCAGAACAAGTAGGGTCTAAGGGAACAGAGGTCTTCTCAAGGAGGGCCCAAAGACACGGCTGCAAGGTCCTCCCCGTGGTGACTCAGCTATCAGGAACTGATATGTAGAAACTTAACTTCCTGGGACCTGGAACTGATGCTTGCTTCTGCTTCTATAAAAGCCAAGTGCACTTCTCCAGCTTGATTCAAACTGACAAATGAACCAGCCTGAGCTGGAGTGAGACCTTGTCTCTGAAAATAGTCGGACACCTGTAGTCCCAGCTACTTGGGAGGCTGAGGCAAGAGAATTGCTTAAGGCCAAGAGTGAGGTCGCTGTGAGCTGTGACTGTGACACTACAGCACTCTACCAAGGGTGACAAGGTGAGAGACTTTGTCTCAAAACAAACAAACAAACAAACAAACAAAACAACTGACCAGTGAGAAAGGTACCCATGGGCTGGAACTTTTTGATTGGAGAAAAAAAAGGAGAAGACTGAGCCAGTCAGAAGCCTTCCAGGAGTGTGGCCTTTTTAGTCCGTCTGCCCTTGCTCTGCCACCTAGGATAAAGCCCTTCCTCTTTTAAACTTGGATTTGGGGTATTCTTCTCTCCATTGGGCCTCATCATCCTGCAACAACAATCCTTGATGAAGCCTGGGTTCTTCCTATCTCCATGTTTAGTGCTATTACTACAGAGTTCCTCCTTTCCTTTAAAAAGAGTGAATAAAAAGTAGAGGGAGTAAAGAAAATATACTCTTTCTTCACCCCTTTTTGCCCCACCCAAAAAAGGCTTCCTTCACCTTTTAACTGATTAATATTTGCATGGGCACAACAGGATAACTATAGTTAACAATAACGTATTACATTATGTGGTTTTAAATAGCCAGGAGGAGGATATTGAATGTTCCTGACACAAAGAACATTATTAACTGAGGTGAGAAGGCACCATTGACCTTGATCTGATCACTCACATAGGAACATCACTGTGGGCTCAATTAATATGCATAATTCTCATGTATCAACTAAAAATGAAAAGTAATTAAGCAGTAAATTGGCACAGCATCTTTTTATTGAACAATTTGAGAGAGAAGGCTTACAATGAATATATATTAAGGCAAAATGACTGCTTTTGTTCAGAATCTCCAGAGTGGTAATGGAGAAAGAACTCATGGGAGGGCAAGGCGTCTGAATGTTTGTCTCACCTGCCAGCCACTACCACAACTTCCAAAATAAAACTGACCTCTAAGCTTCGTTTAAAAAGTTACTAATCAGTTCTCATCCCACGAACCTACAAATTCAGCTACTTTTCCATCTGTCCCATAGCTTTATAACGTAGAATAATGTTACTTTAGCATTTTCTTTAACAGCCTCATGTACAGATCAATTTTCTCCTCTTTTTCTCTGGATGTATCATATTATTAATTCGATAACATTAAGCTCATGGCCAACAGCACTATAACTCGCACTTGAGTTTCCCCTATGTAATGCAGGTATTTTCTCCTGAATCCTTTTTTGTGCATGGGAGTGCTGGACATCACTTCAGCTGTATGCTCAAGGTCATTTTAAGCAGTAAAATCACTAATAAAAAGCATAAAAGTGCAAAATTGTGGCACTAAATAGACTGCAAAATGGACTTGTTTAAGTATGAGAGCTAAAACAAGAAGGCAGAGTGTCAACCCTTGTTTGATCTCAACTAGGAATAGTGCATTCTAGTGACTAAAATTTTTCCCATCTCTTCATGTCTGCAAATGACCATGAAATCATTATGAATATTAATTTAATATTTATAACAACCCAATTAATATGCATATTAATTGGGTTGTTATAAATAAGTAAACTTCAGCAACTGGATAATTTTTTAAATATGGAATCCATGAATAATGAGGACTGACTATATGGCAGATGCATAAAAGTGGCCTACTAGGCAACAAAATTATAATTACTAAAATTTCAAATTATGTCTAAATAGCATTGGATACTAGTCAAGAAACAAACTTTAAATGTGAAGATACAGATACATTAGAAGTAAGAAGATGAAGAATGATATACCACACTATCAAAATAAATAAAGCTGCAATAGCTGTATTAATTTTAGAGCAAGAGACTTCAGAGCAAAGAAAACTACCAGGGATAAAAAGGGTCGCTACATAATGACAGAGGGGTCAATTCTCCAAGAAGACATAACAAGCCTTAACAGAAGAAACACAAGTCTCTGCAATTTCTTTTGGAAAACAGAAACAGAAGGAGTATTCCTTACCTCATTCTATCATGGAATCATTACTTTAATACCAAAACCAGAGTAAGAGTTTACAAGAAAAAAAACAAACTACTGATCAGTGTCTCTCAGGAACACATATACAAGACTCTTTAAAAAAATTATCAAATCAAATATAACATTGTATAAAAAGAAGTATACTTCACAATTCAGTGGGTTCTTATTTTTTAAATTTATATATAGGCAAGACTGGCTTAAAATTCTAATATCAAATAATGTCATCTATCACATCCATAGGCTAAAGGAAAAAAATACGATTAGATTGACAGATATAGAAAGAGCATTTGACAAAATCCAAAAACTATTTGACATAAAAACTCATGGCAAACTAGGCATAGAAGGGACCTTCCTCAACTTGATAAAGAACATCAAAAAGACGTATGGCTAGCATCATAAGTAAGGGAAGAAAGATCAGGAAAAAGGTGAGAATGTCTACCCAAAAAGGCACTGAGTGTTTCAAAAATATCCATTTTGACTTGTTTGCTCTTTTCTCAAGATTTAGGAATGTAGGTTAAAAATGATTCTAGATGTTAAGGATCTCACAGAGCTCATCTGACAATTGCTGTGTTAATAGATACAAAATAAATACAGTTCTGGGAATACATGGACAAGAGAAGTAGCTCCTAGTGGTGAGGAGCTGGAAAGTTGACAGCAGTGCCAGGGAATGTTAATTGAGAATTGTTCTGTTTTAGATTATCAGCACATTTTCATGTAACTTAAGACAATTTCTGTTGAAACTACCTATTTCATTTACTTTAGAACACATTTTTGCTTTCAAATTTTTCTAAATAAAACTCAGTAGACAGAGAAAACCTTAGGAAAGTATCTTCTTCAATTGCGCTTTGCAGGGTGAACCAGACTGATAGACATTTAAAGCATTTTGGAGCTGTGTTCTTGCGCTGGTGTGCTACAGTGGCCAGAACGACATTAAAACACAAACCTCCTGAAATACCCCAGCCTGAAACACTGATAAGAAACAAATTACGATGGTCCAAATGAACCCATATTCTGACTCTAACATTGCAAGGATAAGAAAATTGAAACTGGAGGAAGGAAAAACTTCTCAATGAATAGATCGCTGTGCTCTATATTTTTAAACCAAAATTTGCTCTCCAGAAGAAAAAGCTAATTCATAACTTTTCATTACCTTGTCTTTATGTTTTTCTAGTGATGATTTGTATTTTAAAAGGCATAAACTGATTGCAAACTCCTAAGGTCACCTTTGGAGGGTGTATTGAAAGTTCTTCATTGTTTTCTTACGGGATGCTGAATAGTGAATACAGCACACAGAGGTGAGCTTGCCCAGCAAAGTTGTGTGAAGGCCACTTTGTCTTTAAAGTTCAGAGCTTGCTTTCTCATAAAAGCCTTTGCATATTTTATGCAAACGTGTCTTTTATGTTGCCGATGTTTATCTTTGTGTTCATCAGAATTCTTCTTAAACAGTTGTTTCATTTCAGGAAACTGTATGTTCATGCCTCCATATCATGTCTTCAAGGTTAGATCTTTTTTAAAAAGGAGCCCACCGGTTTCCTCCCTTCTTCTTTCTGCATATTTTCTTTTTCTCAACTTTAGTCTCATTTATTATTGATGTTAATCATCTGTATGCCAGCCTCCAAGCTCTAGGAGTTCACCAAGCACAGAGCAAATGAAACCAGGCATTGGAAGAGCAGATGTGGACTGACCAGCTGGCTGCAATGCTGGTGCCCAGAGAAGGGCTCAAAATAGAAGGTGCATTTGAACGGATGCTTGAAATAAGAGAATGTGGATGAAAATTAGATGAGGGAAGAAAAAGCCATTCCAATCAGAGGGATTATTAGGCCAGTTGATAGGGATGTTAAAAAGAATAATAATAATTAAAAAAGGAGAAACCCTTTTGGGGAATAGCCAGAAATTTGATTGGAAGTGAGAGTAGGAAAAGAAACAGGTTAGAAAACAAAGGCCAAAGTCAATACAGACTTTCATCCTCGACTAAAGTGTTTAAGCAAAACGTGAAGATTAGGTTTGCAATTTTTCAAAGAAAATCTGTTCACCATTATTGTACTTTTCTGTAATATTTTGTCATTTCACTTCTTTTCCCAGTTTTTTGTTTAATCTATGTCTGCCTTTTGTAAGGCATCAGAGAATTTATATCCCCAGTGTAGCCTGACAACAAAGTGGAGCCAAAAAAAATTGCAACAAGAGTCAGTAGACATGATGAGACTTACCAAAGCCTTGGAGTGCACCTCCTAGCATCTGGGCATCCATGATGGGATTGAAATTGGGAGCTGGGAAGATGGTTCCTTGTACCTGGTGGTAAGAATGAGAAGGAGACTGTGGTAATTCACATTAAAGGTTTCTGTATTTTTTTCCAGATAAATGAACTGAAAGTATCTTCTTTATGTTTGATTTATATACACAGAGGCCTATTAACTAAATGTTCTAATTGTGTGTTTATTGTCAAGAGCAACTATTGGCCTCCATTGTTCCATCATCTATTTTTAAGTAAGAAACCATGATACTAGAACCGATAGTAGAAACATGTAAGAATTAAATTAAAAATATTTTTCTTCTGAACTAACAGTAAGTATTTTCTCAGGAATTAAAGGTTATTTTATAGGAACTGAAAAGATAATTGTATTAGGGTGATCCATGTCATTCACAGGAATTAAAAGTGGTACTTGGCACCGAGGCTTTTTGCACAAACAAGGCACTATGATCTTATTAGAGAAAACTGAAATGTTTGAATTTAGATTACAGGATTCATAAAAATCCAAGTGATGCACACAGAGCAGAGATTGTTTCGTGGAAGCTCAGAGCTGCAGAGGAAAACATAAATTCCTGACTGACAGTGCATTTAAATTCCCTCTCTTGCCCATAGCACATCGGCAGGACCCCTGTGACTGGCTTGTGATCAGCATGGTCCATTGTGTCAGACAGCTAGGACCAGGCAGCACAGGACCACCCCATACAACAGGCTGTCATTTGAAAATTAGTAAGAGGGGCAGCTTTCCCATTGGTTGTCAGAGTGTTCAGAAACACTGTGAGGAAAGTGCCTTCCCACAGCAGATGCGTTGGTGGGGCCCTGTGAAGAGCTCACTCAGATGCTCTCTGGGCTCTGCTGCTGTGCTATCGTCTTAGCTAAAGGTAAAGTCTTCTAGTGCCCATTGTCCAACAGTTGAAAATTAATTAATTAATGAGAACAAGACTAGACTATAATTTCTAGTTAAATGAATACACATATACCAATATCTAAACTTCTATCAAAGTGTTGCCAGAGTGTGTCTCTGCCAGGTCCTTGACCCCAGAGATTCAAAGATGAACCTGTGGACCATGTGAATAAGCAACAGGACAGAGTTTATTGATGGGAAGATTGATAGAAAGATCCATAAGCAAAAGAGGGGAAACAAGAACCCCTGGCAGTGGAGGAGGAACCCAGGAGCGAAGCCCCTATGTCTTCAGTCTAGGGGGTTAAATGCTGCTTTTCCTATCCTGTGGGCAAAGGACTCTGGGAAGTGTGTCACAACTGCCCAGGAGTCTGCAGGCAGAAATCAATCCTAAAATTGGCAAAGGGATGTGGTCCTTGAAGCCCTTGCCCTGGTGAGGGGGGTGGGGCATGTGTGCTCCTACTCTGCTTTCTGGTGACCTTGCTTGAATGTGTCCTGGAAAGGACCTGGTTGTGCCCAGAGATGGTTGTCTGTGATATGATTGATTTCTGAGCTTACCCAGGCCTAGAAATTTGTGGTCCATGTTCAGTCTTGAATGGGAGAACACTCTATCAAAAGGACTTGTAAAATTAGGAACATAAAACTGAGAATTAAATGAAGTTTGGATTCCATTTCACTCATATTAATGAGCATGAAGTTGCTATTTGAAGTAGACCAAAAACCATGTAATGAGTATGGCCTGGCCATATTTTCATATTTAGAAATACAACTGTGTTAGTGGAATTAAGCAGATTCTTTTGATCATGATACTTAGCTACATTTATTGTCTTGTACTAGGAAAACAAAACAGAAATAAATTTAAGAGAGATATAACAATTATCTTGGAGAATATTTAGGGGAAGGGGCTGATCCCAGATGACAGGGAAGAAATTCATCCCAGCTACCTGTGTGAACAAATATGTGACTAGTTACAACTTGATTGTTGGTGTATGTGAGTATCAAGATACAGAGTTGGGGATGGCAGGGACAAGATGACTGTAAAACATTTGAGATATTAAGTAAGAAAGCTATATAATTTATAGCCGGACATTGTGGTGGGTGCCTGTTTTCCTAGCTACTAGGGAGGCTGAGGCAAGAGAATCACTTGAGTCCAAGAGTTTGAGGTTGCTATGAGCTATGTGTGATAACCTAGACCCCTTTATTCCTCCCTAAGACCAGTGGGGAACAAGCCCCCTGCCCTTGAAAAGGAAACTTCTCCTAACCCTTTTATTCCCACCCCCCTAAAGGGTGGAGAAGCAGTCTGAATTAAGGAAGTATGCAGGGAGAGGTTGAGCTCTTGATGGAAAGTCCGGAGTTCTTTGGAAACTTTCTCAACTTGTGTTCAACTATGTACCTCCACTTGACACCTTTTTGAACTATGTGACTCCATCTTATGATCCATGGGGTAATGTACTTGTGATGTATCTTGTGATTTATGAACCAATATGTACCCTCACCTTGTGACCCTGCTTTAACTGCTATATTTGGTTTTTGTATTGTGCTAGCTTGCTGACCATGCATTACTATGCAGAATAACAATATAAAGAGGCTTTTCACTTGTGATTCAGGGCTGCATGCCTGTATGGTATAAGTCCCCTGTAGGTGCACCTGCAGGTGTATTAAATTCCTAATCAATTTCAATTAATTAATTACATCTGAAGTGGGGTCCTTCTTCTCTCCACTGCCGGTATTATAACATTTCTTGGAGGCCCCAGTGAGATTATTGGACCCCCACCTGGGCCCACCGCTGGCCAACGGCTCTAGGGGGAGGCCTCGGAGAATTCTTTCTCTGCCCTAAGAGTCCTCGGGCACGGATTTACGGGCTCAGGTTCCTACGATTTTCCAATTCAGTGAGTCTATCTGTCTATTCCTGTTTTTTGTGCTGTCTGTTCCTGTTTTGCATGGTACTGTTGAAGTCTGGGGACATTACATGCCTGCATGTTCCATGTTTTGTTCCCTCTGGAGGAACTAGGCTTCCTACTGCCTACTTGTAGGCATACACTGGACACAACTAGGAGGCTAGTTCTTGGGGCAGGGGAGTAAGGGCTCAAGTTGGAGGCCACCTACAGGAGTCCTTTGCCTATAAATAGGTGGAGCTGATGGCCCCTGGCAATGGGAGAGGAGCCCCCCTGTCTTACTGGACAGACTTGTTTTGGGTCACTTGGAATTTTGAGGTTTGTGGTACTTTGAGGTTATTGAGGTTTTGAGCTCAGTTCAGTTGTCAGTCTCTTCTGTGCGAGTGAGTGAGTGAGTGGGTGAAAGAGTTTATATGTAGTGCCATGGCCTGAAGGGACTATGGCATCCGAGTGGGCCTCCACCTGCGGTTCCACAGCTTAATCATACGGCTTAGTAGCAGGCCTCTCAGGGCAACCTGGAGTGAGTTTATACCTTCCCATCTATGCCAAGATAGAGCTCTCATCCTTTCTGGGATGTGGCCAGGAAGGCACTTGAATGAGAATCAGGCACAATTGTGCCTGTCTAATATTTGTCTGTCCATCTTTCTGTCCATTTGTTTCCCTCCTGTGGTGTGATTATTTGAATATTGGATATTAGTTTGTCTGTCAGAAACCACTCGCCCTGCTTCCTCTTTTTTAAAGCTGCACAAAAATTTTCTCTTCCCCTTTTTGTGCAGAAGCTTGCCAGTCAAATTCATGTTGAACTTGTTTGTTACATTTATGAAATTTGTAGTTTCCATACTCTTTTTGGCTGGTCAGGTTTTCTCTTTCAGACTTGCAGAGGGTGAGCCTTTGGTTTATTAAGTTTTCTTTTCCTATGCTGGTTAATGTGTGTGAGTCATTACTTCCAGAACTTTCTTCTCTGTCTCTTTAAAATCAAGACAGTACCCTGTTGCTTTGCTCCAAGACACGCAATGGAGTGGGTCTGAGATCAAGCGTGCTGAGAAACTCTCCTACACTTCGGTCTTGGAGAGGTCTCTGTGTTTACTTTTGACAACAGAATAATAAAAGTGTGGCTTTTCAGTAATTTCCTGATTTCAGATGCCACGCTAAAGGCTCTCCCCCGCCACTGAGTTTTAGGTATTTTAAGTTCTTTTACTTTGCTTTTATGTTAGTACAACTGTGTAATAGCTATCAGTCAGGTTTATGTTTAATTTATAGATTCTAGTGTTTTGTCTAATGTTTTCTTGAGGTCTGAACAAGACCCCAGTCTTATAACTTTAAACATCTACTTAAGTAAATCATGGGTTAATTCTGGCAGAAAACTCTTCTAAGTTTCACTCCAGGAGAGATCTTTGTGGTTTTTCTTCTTCCTATTTTTAGTAAAATTATTATTTTAAACCTTCTTAGTATGCTTTCAACATGTTAAGATTCTTTTCAAAGGTTATGTAGTTTGTTTTGACCCAGGCTATGGCCACTGGTTGTGGCTGGGCAAGAGTCTCTTTAACCCAGGGGGCAGTTGCTGAGGATTCCTCAGCCCCGGGTAAAGGACTTATTTTATCCCCAGCCCCACCCTGCCATATCATTTGATTAAATAATTAGATTTTTACTTCTCTAATGTTTCCATTGCCATTGATTTGTATTACATAGTTCCATTTTAAAGGTTCAGTGTGTTTGACAGCATGCTGTGCTGTTTTCATGACCGGTTTTGTAGTGACTCTTTAATTGCCTGCCCTTTTCTGGCAATTGAAGGGTTACTGTGAAGTTTTCTATGGATGTTTTTTTTACAAGGCTTGTTTCTCTTTTGATTGCTGGACTGCTAAAAATTAAAACTGTTAGGCTACAAAAGATTTTAAAGCTAACACCCCACCCCAAAGTCAAACCCTGGTGTATATATATCCTCAGGCAGCCTCCAGGAGACTGTGATCTCTCTGAGGGGAGGTGATCCCTGAAAACATCCCAGGGTCCCCAGAGAACCCAACACCCTCAGGAGGCTGGCTGACAACCACCCCACAGGAGGTAAGCTATTTTTAACATTTGTTTTGGGCTCAGTGCCTATGGCTCAAGTGGCTAAGGTGCCAGCCACGTACACCTAAGGTGGCCAGTTCGAATCCAGCCCAGGACCGCCAAATAACAATGACGGCTGCAACCAAAAAATAGCTGGGCATTGTGGCGGGTGCCTGTGGTCCCAGCTACTTGGGAGGCAGAGACAGAAGACTCACTTGAGCCCAGGAGTTGGAGGTTGCTGTGAGCTGTGATGCCTCAGCACTCTACCCAGGAGGACAGCTTGAGGCTCTGTCTCAAAAAAAATAAAAAATAAAAAACATTTGTTTTGGTTAGTGTCTGCACTAAATTAATTGTTGAACTCTTTGTTGTGGCTAAAGGTTTCAAGCGGGCTAGGAGGATAGCCCCAGACACACAGGCTTTAATTATAGGCTTTATAAGCTATACGCTAAGACAGAAAAGTTATGTCTGTGGAGCTGGCCCAGGGGTGGGCCCAGCAACTGACCAGTTACACCAAGCTATGCGGGCAGCAAGAGATAAGTTTGAAACCCATGTTTAGCATGCTTTTCTAATCTGACAACTCAATCACATATGACCCCGGGCTCAGCTCAGCAATGCTTCACTCAGGTGTCTGAAACTGCTCCTAAAGGGCCCAAACCAGGGCTGCCTTGTGGCCTCTTTCATTTCTAGGGCCACACTATGTGCTAAAAGTGGAATAAATACAGGGATGGGTAGTAACCTACCTAAGACAAAGCTAGCAGACTGGATCCACCTAGTAATGGTTGGACAGAGTTCATAGTTCTATACAGGGATAGAGCACTGA